ACACACACACACACACACACACACACACACACACACACACACACACACACACACACACATTGATATGGATGGACACTTATAAAAAAAAGTATACAACCGCTATTATGTTACTATTGGAACGATTAGCTGAAAGTAGGTAATCAGTTACAGAACCATAGGTGCTGTGTTTTAAAGCCTCCGATGCAAAAGGAAGATAACAAAGCAATTAGTGAACTTGTATAAAATCATAAATGCGTTTTACTGTTGCATCGCCTCTTATTAAAACCGAACATCTATTTTACACACTGTGCCAGTTTACATTTCATCACATCAAATTGGCCAAAAAGATGGAAACAATTGACCCATAAATACATACAATATCAAAGAAAACTAGCTTATATTTGAGCTATAAAATGTATACTCAAGTGAATACATTTTTAATTCACAAGCATCTCAGTGGTTGAACACGATCCTTTATGGGACACTGGTCAGTTTCTGATTCGTTCACATTTTGATAACTTTCAATCAAGAGCGCAAAACGGCCTTAGTTTTAAAAGCATTCTCCTCATTTGCTTGAATACAATAACGGTTGTGTGGTTTTAAATATGTCAGTGTGTTGAATCTATCCATCCATCCATTTTCCGATCCGCTGACAAGGGTCGCGGTGGGTGCTGGAACCTATCCCAACCGTCTTTCGGGCAGTAGGCGGGGGACACCCTGAATCGGTTGCCAGCCAATCGCAGGGCACTCAGAGACGAACAACCATCCCCGCTCCCACTCAGACCTAGGGACAATTTGGAGTGTTCAATCAGCCTGCCATGCATGTTTTTGGAATGTGGGAGGAAACCAGATTACCCGGAGAAAACCCATGCAGGCATCAAAGAAGGCCGGAGCCGGGATCGAAACCACGAGTGAGGTTATTTGTTAGTGCCTGTGGGCACACATGCATACCGATGAAGTATGTGGATCATAAACTGTCTCCAGAAGTCCTGACCTCTGTGGTACTTTGTCAGAGCTGCAGCTCAGACCTGGTTGAGGAAGCTCAGCGTGGACTGACAGAAGGAGCCAATTATCATGAAAAAATGCAATCACACGTCACCTTGCGGGTGGGCATCAAACGCCCCCCCCCCCCCCCCCCCCACCACACACACACACACACACACACACGAGGCGACGTGACTGATGGACGCCGTGTGATCCATTTGTTTTAATGAATGTTTTATAGCGGATGAACGTGCCCGTGGAACTGTTGAGACCGTACGACTCACAATTGATCCTTTTATACAATTCCATTTAATCAAGTATCTTGTGAGTGGACATCTCCCTCCGGGAGACTTGCTTTTATCCGCCCTTGTTAATTATGCTCATTCAGATGGGACGCGTCTTGCATCCATGCGAGAGAATGATAACCTTCTGCAAGAATAGGCCGTCTCCTGTCATGTCAGCAATTGAACTCATAGTGACATTTTAGGACAACTCTATTGGATGTGTTAAGTTATTGTTATTTTAATGACAATGTCCCTATTCTCCCGAGTGTGAGCTCTATTCATGCAAAAGGGACACGACCCGTTACTGGACATAACATTTAGTCCTTCTTGGATCAAAAATGGTGGCAGAAATGGAATGCTGCTACATGTGAGGATACTGCACATGAAGTGGGACAAAGTAGCGGCATTCCGTCATTGTTATTGGAAGTGAAGAGTCAGAACATCAGCAGACTTGTTTTCAGATTGCCCTTCAAATTGGTGTGAGAAGTGGGATGCTAAATTGTGAGCCCATCTGTGGCATGTCCATGTTTTTTTGGGGGGGAATTTTATTGAACAATAATCAGCAGTACCGGCTACTAATACTACTAAAACTTTGACTACTACTTCTTATACTTCTACTTCTACTACTACTACTATTACTACTAATACTACTACTACTGAACTACTATGACTACTAAACTACTTTTACCATTACTATTTCTACTCCTGCTATGACTGCTGAAATTACAATCACTGAAACCAGAAATAGGACAAAAAAATTGGGCCCCATGATAAAGTTTCTTTTCCTCCTGAAAATTTGACCCTTCCACCCAACCACACCCCCGCACCAAATTGTGCACCCGAGGATTGCTACTACACTATTACTCCGGTAGTATGTAAGAAAAAAAATGCACCTTCTCCCCAGTAACATGTTTAATCCTTGTGACCCTCACCTTGATTTTTTTTCATACAGTCATGCCCATTACTACTTATACTACTGCTTGTACTATTAATATTGTTTTGTAGTACTATGTTGTTATGTTTTTTTGGGATGTTTTTTTTCTTATTATTTAAAAATGTTCCACCTCCTAAAAATTTGGCAACTGCACATCCCACAACCTCTCGCTATCCACTATGTGGAATTTGCTGTCATACCCGAATTAGCCCATGTTTTTTTATTTTTTTGTTTGGTGTGTGTGATGGGTCACCACATACTATTTGATAGACACACCAGGACTTCATAAAAAAATAGCACTAAATCTAAGCATGGCAGATAAGGTTAAATTCCAGATCAGCCTCGGATTACTGTAAGACTGCGGGTCAATCAATGGAAGTCAATGGAATACCCTTTGAGGAAAATACTTCATCTGCCTTGTACCTTCGTAGTAGTATAAGCTATGACAGGTATCACCATCATGACCACTGGTTTCGAGACAGCCTAACAGGCTTTGAATTACGGCTTCTACGAGACAATAGCCCAGGAAAAATAATAACGCCACTGGTGCCGGGAGCCACCCCTGCCTTCGAAGCACATAAACATACATCTAATAAACTGCAGTTATGGCCGAGCTGGCTGTTTCTTGGAGAAAGAAAAAGAAAAACAACATTCCCAAGTCTTTTCAGGGGGAATTTTATGTGCGTTCTTTGATTTAATCAGTGGTGAGCTTGAAGCTCATTGGCATGTTGTATACTGGAGCCCTTATAGAAAAGATAGCAGTATTTAAGATCATATTTATTTGAACACCCCCAAGAGGGAGATCGCCTGGCTCGACTAGTGTCTGCCCCTTGACCAGGACATCCATCGTCACATAGTCTTGCAAATGGTGTACACCCTGGACTGGTCTTCAGCCAGGCACAGAGCACATATAGATAAATACAAAAAAAATGAATAAGCTGTATCAAAATTTGAACACATCAAACAAAAAATGACATTTGCTATTGTTTATTCTCTTTGCATTATTTGGATCAGCTGTTTCTGGATGACAAGGTCCAGTGCCACCTTTCCCGCCAGCTTGCTCACCTCTTGACTCATATGCAAATGAGACCTTTTTAATCTCACACCAGGAATGAGCTACTGTAAAAGATACCCCAGGCGTCTTCCGTCTTTTTTTTTTTTTTTTTTTTGTAGCTGTGCTGAATGCTATTACAATGCTTTACAGACCCACCTGCAATATGTGAAAATCCGCGATATACAGACTGAGTATGTGTATGTATGCATATGTATATAGGCGGCACGGTGGTCGAATGGTTAGCATGCACAGTGCAGAGGTGCAAGGTTCAATTCCGGCTCTGGCTTCCTGTGCGAAGTTTGCATGTTCTGTGTTGTTGTGCTTTTGGCATTCCCAACGACCTGTAAATCTGTTTGACCACAAAAAAATTGCACAGTACAGAGGCACCCACGCTTGGTGAAACGCGATATAGCAAGGGATCATTGTACATCATCTTCACATTCCCCAAGTGTGGAATCAACATATTTGACTTGCATGCCTTGAAAAATACAATTTTCAATTACAGTTCGGACCCACAGCCCCACTGTACAGCTGTTTAATAGAGCAGCGACTATCACCTGAACACAGTTCAAGAAGCAGGACATAGACTTGTGGTGTGTTTAATGAGGCTGAAGTAAGGGCTCCCAGCAGACTGGCCATCAGCCCGGACATGCTCCCGTCTCCCACGTTAGGCGACACCCATCCATCATCTTCAGGATGTCATCATGATCATCCCCCGCACAATGGCACTCCATTGGGCTCTAGCTCACTCTCGGATTGGACCCCTCGAGGAAGTGACTCATGGATGGTTCTTGGAAAAAAACAACAAGAAGTTTCCAAATGCTTTTCTTTCTTCTTCTTCAGGACATAAAACAAAGACGGTGAGCCCATTGTCTGCTGATGATTTCCCTGGAGTGAAAGCCGTTCTGAGCCATCGAGCTGTGTCTAATTTGTCTGGGGGAAAAAAAAAAAGGTGTTCGGAGAAGTGCTCAAAGAATGCTTGGATGTTTAATCTCGCTTCTATTGTGCAGCATTGTTTTTTTTTTTTTTTGGGTGCATAAATGCTCCTTAATTCAAACCTCCCACCCACACACTGAAGATGCTAATGTGGATGGAGAAGTGTTGTACACATCTGTGTAACAGCAGCAATTATATCAAGTGGCAGGGATAAACTTACACAAGCAGGCACAAACGATATGTAATTACAAGGTACTGATACATTGATACAAGGAAGTGGGGTGATGAACTTTTTCCTGTCAGAAAGACAATAGCCATGCATTCATCTGCATAATCAATCGAATCAGTCCAAAATGGAGAGGCTCACGCTTCTCTCTGCCAATGTACTTGTATTGTCTTGTAACACAATCTAGACACATGCAGGCTGTGGATAAAGCGGTGCTGTTGCCCGCATAGTCAGTTGAAGCCTTTGCTGAGCTACACCCCCAAAATGCACAGAGGCCAATCACTGGGCAGCACAGAATTTGCAATATGCTCCGGGTCCCCACACAAGTGACATGTATTATTCACAGAGAGCTAGGCAACCTTACAAGAACAATATTGCTGTTTTTTTCACCATCCTTTGTGATCTGTCTGCGCCCATTTTTGTTTTGCTTGGCATTATTTCCTTGGTGTGGTGGATGTAACCTGTAAGGGGAAAACACCAGTCAGAGTGATGACCAGACTTTCAGAGGATATTTCTGTGCTGCCTTTTGGGGAAAGGCTGTAAAAATGAGAAAAATGATTGTGATGCTTGTGCATCATCGATGACTGACTGCCTTTGTGTGCGCGTGTGTGTCAAATAAGTGATAAGCGGCTCACTCGGGTTTGGATGTGGCTTCATCGTAACAGTGTGCCCTCAATTCTGCTGCTGCTGCTGACATCATTTTCTCCATTTAGTGAGTTCATGTCGACGTCTCAGAATGAGAAGATTCTCCCTTATGGAAGCATCGAGAAGATTTGGTTGAGTCTATATTTCAAAGCAGACTTCAAAACCTCTTATTTGCGGAAGATTATAGGTAAGGATTGTCCTCAAAGACCCTTTTAGTTTAGGTTGCAGGGAAATATGGCCATCCTGTATTTCTCTCCTGCATTCTGCCTACATTTAAATGCTGTTAGTTATATATTTTATGATCCTGATTAGTTTAACTCCTTTCTAATATCCCTCAGAAGAAATAATGGCCAGAGGAAGAACAATCTATCAGAAACAGAAGGCCGACGAGGTGTCACTCATTTGCTATGCAATTGCGGCCACATTCATCACGGCACAAACTCACAGCCACGCGATGGCCTTCTAACTTGGGCTTCTGGTGCTTTGTGGAAACTCTTTTAGAACATTCATCACTGGAAAAAAAAATGCCCATAACCATTTGCTCTAACAAGTGAGGGTAAGACGAGCAAACAGAAGCAGAGAGATGCGACCTCAGTCAGCTGAGAGGATTAAGGAAGCGGTGTGGCATTGGCAACATTTCCGCATGACAGGCCTGTTTATCACTTTTTAATTTTTAATGGATTGAACTTTCTCCCAAAAATAAAACCTGAAACTAATGACATTTAATGTTATAGTCACACTGCATTACAAATAAGTCACTCGACCAACACCCCATGCTTAGCTAACGTCGGCTTGTTTACAGTGCTAATGGTGGCTTAATGTGGCTAGCGCTGTTATTTTGTCGACACTGCACTAGTTCTCTGACTATCAGACTTCAGTTTTGCCATTATCTTCCATGAGTACTAAGTCTAATCTATTAAATAAATAGAGTCCGTTTTGCAATCTGTACAAAGTCAGTTGAACCTTGGATTTTCCACCAAAAAAAACAATAGCCTAAAGAGCTTTTCCAGTGCATTGTAAAAGGAAACTACAATGAGAAAACAGCCCCCTCACTCCATCACAGAAGCAAACTGGAATGCTAAACCACAAAACCAATCCAAGTTAAAAGCCAGTAAATTCTGATTTGGGGTGACGTAAACCCCAATCTCACCTTCCTTCCTTCCTGCCTGTCATCCTTTGTTTTGTTTTGTATTACTTACCCCCACCCAAAAAAAAACCAAAACTGTAATCCACCTGCCTGGTCCAGCGCAGCCTACCGTGACACAGACAGACATTACTGGGTCACAGAGACGCCGTTAGCCAGAAAAACGAGCGAGAGTGAGCGAATGTCACACTCGCCCGGCCAACAGCATCAGACACCTGAGATTGGATCTGTTCCTAGATCTGCACTGAGCCAACAGTCTGACACTTACTTTATCAGGCCATGCACAACCATTACGGACCTTTATAGCGTGACACAAGTAAGTTCCAAATGACCTAGTTTTCTGCCTTGGCAATACTCATGGTGTTCACATTTGACATAGAGATGGACAGTAGGAGCAAGCCATTGGGAGAACCAGTGTTGTCACGTAAGCCTGAGGAGAGTTGTTGATTGGGCCTTTCGGAACCTTTATGGTCACTGTAATTGGACACACATGTTGTAAAAGATAGTCCAACCAGGAAAGAAAGTTCCTCTTTATTTCCGAACCTTTATTTATCAAGGTAAGGACAATTGAGAACAGATTCTCGTTTTCAAAGCCGAAAAGCAAGAGACAGCAGACAACAGACGGTGTAACTTCTGGGTGACTGTTCAGCCATAATGAACAGGGACTCCTGGAGTTAGGGCCAGGTGGTCGCATACAGGGAACCTGCTTCCTGAAATTCTTATTCTTATTCTTATTTTTTTTTTTTTTTACCATTTTTTAAATCCCCCCATGAATACTACTACTTTATATAGATCTCTACTTTTGAAATGTGCCCCAGGGCCATATAAAATGACACGGGCTGGATCTGGCCTCCGGGCCTTGACACCTGTGGTTTACCAATGGCACAACCTTTATTACCGTTGTTTGATATTTTTGTCCATTTATTGCTCTTCATGAAATGCACATGCAATGTTTAAAGTAAGATTTGTAATTGTCATACAACTACAAAATCCAGTTAATTGTTAAAAATGCTGAAATAAATGAATGACGAAAGCGAAGTTATGCCACATGGATCCGACATCTCATCGGTTGGGTGGTCTTTGTTTTGGTGAATTTATTTCACTTAAATTGTTTCTTTTAACATCCCTTGCATATTCATAAAGGTTTTACGATTAGCCCATTGAACCACAGACCAGAGAACCGATTGGTTCTTCTGCTATTGTTTCATTTAGGAAAGCCAAAGACTGTCCTCGAACGTGTCCTTTATAATGCATGTATGTACAAGGGCACTCTTTAATAATGCGTGAGACAGGCTCTCTCTATGGCAAAGGAATAGGAGTGACCGTCAAAATGAAGGCTTCAAAGAGCCATCAGTCCATTCATTATTGCACGTGCAGTTCAAGGCTTGGAACTGCAGAGGTGGTGCAAAGGAATAGGAGTGACCGTCAAAATGAAGGCTTCAAAGAGCCATCAGTCCATTCATTATTGCACGTGCAGTTCAAGGCTTGGAACTGCAGAGGTGGTGCAGGTTAACGAAGGAGGTCTTGACAAGTGGGAATGTGTTCAAAAAGGACTGCTTTCCATAAAGTGGAATCTAAAGTGCTGAAATAATTGGATGAATTTGAGAGTAAAATCTCAGTCGTTGATGAATAAAATAGATAATGTAGTCCGAAATGAATTAATGTGAATATCATTTGATTTTTTTCTGCTTATGGATTTATTGTTAGTTTATCTAAACTAAGGAGCAGTCTGAACAAAGGAAGAAGAGCATGCACAGGAATTTAATTTGACGTTTGGATGACAATTCAAAATGGTAAAATGTTACGCTTCGCCTGCACAATTCATAAAGATTTTACAGAAGATCTAATTCACCCATGGAAGCAATTATTTTTATTTCCTTCATTTTGCTGTCTGGGCCGCCAAAAATAATTTTCGCCCCAAAATATCGAATACATGTGTTGATAAATAATTTCACAGAGCCCTCACTCTGACACAGACTGGTTCTGCAGATGCATCATTTCCAGCACAGCCTGACAAAAAAGCCCTAAAGGAAGACGACTTAGCAGAGGAAATAAAGTTGTTGCATGTCCCGCAAGACAGCAAGTCTTATTTTATTTATTTGAGCTGCATGGCAACAGATGAAGGCATTAAAATTGCCCCCCCCCTCCCCCCATACTGAACCTAAGCTGACAGGCTGTCTGAGCTGTATGAATTTTAGGCTTCTTTCTGTACACACACACACACACACACACACACACACACACACACACACACACACACTCGCATGCACACACTGTAGGAGGGAGAATGCACAGCTGAAATGTTTTGGAATTGGTTCTTGCTCTTTCAAAATTATTAATCACTCTATTAAAATGCATAAAATGTTTGCTATTGATCAGGCGTGACAAAGTAGATCAACTATATCTCTTTGATTTTTATTCCTGCTCTCGTTGTGGTTGTTGCTAGGCAGACCCTATAGAACTTGGTTGTCACTGCTCCTTCGGCTAATTAAAAAAAATATATATATATACCAATCATGCCCACTTGGTTGTTTAAATGACAAGCTAGGGCATCAACATTGTTGCATTCTTGCTGTGTATGGCTTTTGTTACCAGGACAACCGAGGGCGACGCGAGGGCGTACCTTTTAGGCAAGCGGCTACTTGTTTTGAAAATGCTTCCAAGTCATTGGCGGACAAATCTGGTGTGTCGGGGCGGTAATATGAAAATTACACGCAACGTTACATCACAAACAAATGACATTTTGAACGACGAGCTCACCCTCTCAATGGTAAAGTTACCTGGTTCATTGATAGTTGTTAGGGGTACAGGTGGTCTGAGCACACTGTTGGAGTTGCACATTGCATTACAAATTAATAAGAAATAAAAACCAACAAAATGCAGATTATTGGGGAGTCTTTGGAGTTTAATGCAGGTTTTTCCTGCATTAAACTTTAATGGTTTTTCCTTAACGTGGTTAAATGTGATATCACACAGTGGAGCAAAGTGCCAATTTTTTTTTTTTCTTCAGAGGGCAGATGAAAAGAAACAAGCACTGACAACATTGCGCATTATTATCAAGAGTAATGCCTGCAGTGGTTTTATGAAGCAATACTTCTTTTTAATACCACTTTCAGATCGCAGTTTAACTTTTGGTACACGGAAAAACTCTGGAGACATGTGTTATTGCCGTCCTCACTATATTTTTCGGGAAGCAAAGTGACCTCAAAACTAGGACATAAATCTGAGTAAACAATAATAAAAATGCTTCATATGAAAACGATTCAGAGGGTGCCTTATTTTTAGCTCACTTTGAGTTCTCCAGACAACCCTCCTAAGAAAAAAAAACCTGCAACCACGAAATGTGTGACATTAGCAATGTAATAACATACACGGGTGGCTACAGGTGCACGACGAAAAATATAGTCAGTGGTGCAGCGTAATGGCTGCATCTCAACGTTGCGATTAGAGGATCTGCTGGTATTTGGAGTCCAATCACTCTTTTTATTGCGCTCCCCACTTTCTGCTGCCTGAGCTGTCAGCCATCAAAATGCAAATGCTGTAATCCGGCGTCTCAAAGGAGACACATCCTCTTTAAGTAGCTCCATGTGCAAGCAAGACTGTATGGATGCACTATATGGAAAGATTACGGATGCAGCCATCGGAAATACTCTGTCAATCTATCTTCCAACCGATCCGTTTGTCCATCTACTGTTCTATCCATACCTACCCACCTACCCTACTGTATCTACCCGTCTGTCCTATACACATACACACACACACACACTCACTCACACACACACACACACACACACACACACACACACACACACACACACACACACACAAATTGTGGGTGATCCTAAGAGCTAGGAGCACTATTGAAAGTACGAATAAACCAACAACGTAAGGAATGTTCTTGTCAGCAAGCTTAATCAAAGGATGCACCAACTGGATACAGGTCAAGGCTCAGCTAGGAAAATATCCCAAGATGCATTATGTGCTACAATTGTGGAAATACATCCGGCAGTACACAGCCATTCCAATTTACAAAGAGACTTGCATTCTTAGAGCGTTGTCGAGTATGTTCTTATGAAACTGTACTTGCCGAGTTCATGAGACCCTCTGCATTCTTCCCATTGGGAAATGGCCCATCTACCTATTAACCAATCTGTATATCTCTTGATCTCCTGTCTGTCTGTTCACCTCTCATGCTAAAATACACACTTATTACTGGTTATCCGTGAGTTTTTACCCCTATTTCCTTCTTTCAATTGCTATTCCCAAGTTGTCCAAATCCCATTTCCCAGAGGTCTGGAACACCGCACTAGCTCACAGACGGCTCTTGAGGACGTCACGTGAGATTCGCCGAAGCGGATTTCGGTCATTCGGAGCGCACGCGCTTTGAGTGGAGTGTCCAGCAGGGGACAGTAAACGTTGTCAGGTAACGGAGACCAGGTTGCTACGAGATTGAAGGAGGGGAGGAAGAAAGTAGGGGGCGTGTCCTTATAGTCGCTCCCATGTTGCGCAGCGTGGAAATGTGACGTGTGTGGAGCGCACACATACATTACACGAGAGTAGAGAGCGAATGTGAGCGTAGTGTGTTTGTTGTGTGAGTGCGTGTGACAGACTTTCACAGCGGAAAAGTGCCTCTGGCGAAGCCCTCCCCGCCCCCGGCCGGCTGTGGCTCCCGGCTGACCCACGGACTTCATTCTCGCTGCCAATTTCGGACTCCTGGAACTTCAAAAGAAGAAGAAGAAAAAAGAAAAAAAAATAGTACCGTCATTTTTGGGTCGTAAGCGATGCTCTGGCAGCATGGCCAAGTGGTTCAAGGAGCACCTCGGATTCAAAACTGCCAAAGCACCCCCTCCGGCGCCCCCGAAGCCGGACTACCGACACTGCCTCACCGGTGTGCCCGGCGCGCCTGGCTTCCAACCTGGGGCCACTTTCACGTTGAGCCCCGCTCAGCCGGACATCCTCGCTGCATACAAACTCCAAAAGGAGCTGGACTTCGAGGACCCGTACACTCCCGGTGGAAATATCTCGTTTGCCGTGGGCTCACCGGACATCAAATACGTGTCACCGAAGCACCGTCTCATCAAGGTGGAGACGGTGGAGAAGCCCAACCCGGCGCCGGGTGCCGGTGTTGGTGGAGGAGGAGGCGGTACGATGGTGGTCGCTCAAGCCGTCGCAGTGGGCAGTGTGAAATCTCCTACGTCGCCCCCCACGGAGCAGGACAACAAGGAGAAGGTTGGTGAACTTTTTTTGTCCTTACATTAAGCCAAAGTAAGACGGTTGACGTCATAGACGATTAGCTTTAAATGGGTTGTCTTCAAGGTGCTTTAAAATATTGCAGTTAATAAAATCGGAATTTTGTCAACTTTGCGGGGCTGACCCACTTTGTGACAACCGGTGGAACTTGTCACACGGTGCGAGCGGCGCCCCACTTCCGACTAATGACTAACCTGCGCAGCAGGGAGTGCTGCGGGAATTGCGGTCCACTCACGACCCACGAGACCTGTAATAACGAAAAGCAAACTTTGTTCTGTGCTTACTTTCACTTTGCATTGCATTGCACTTTTACTGTCAAAGTGGTGCGTTAAAGTGATCTGTTTAGCACTTGTCTAAATTTTTACATAATTGACATTTTCCTATTAATATTTGTGTGTGTGTTTGTGTTCGTGTGATTTACATATATCTAAATCTATATATATGTATGTCTTCGCTCTCTCTCTCTCTCTCTCTCTCTCTCTCTCTCTCTCTCTCTCTCTCTCTCTCATACACATAACATTTTTGTTTTTTATGTGGAGAAGATAGTCAAATATCAAGGATTCATTTTTTGAAAACATTCTTTTTACCAGTTTATGTTCCCTGTCACTCCTCAGGCAAATATTACACTGTCAATGCGGGGTTCCTGTAGACAACCATTCACGCTCACATTCACACCTATGGGCAATTTAGAGTCTTCAGTGAACCTTACATGCATGTTTTTGGAATGTGGGCTAAAGTCTATTTTTTATTTTAAATTTGTATATATTTATATAGATGTCAATATCATGGAGCCAGAAGCAATGTAATGTTGTAATTGGCATTGCCGGTAGATTTCAGCTGTTACTGTGTGTCAAAGTATTGCCTCATATTTCTTTCCATTTATTTAATATGGCCCTTGAAGGACTTCATATAAATGTAAACGTTTGGCTAATGACAGTAGATCATTTTTTTTTAGATTTGTTATCTGTCGCATAATCCCATATGAGGTTTTTTTTTTTTGTTTTTTGTTTTTTTTGGACACGCATTTAAAATGACATGCGTCTGTTTTACTATAGCCTATATTGATAAATATCGTAGGTGAGGTGGATCCTATCCCAGTAGACTTTGGGCGAGAGTCGGCGTACACTCTGGATTGGTTGCCAGTCAATCACAAGGCACTCATGTACAAACATCAATCTACAGTCACATGTACACCTCCAGATAATTTTGAGTCTTAATTCTGCGTGTGTTCAGAATGTGAGAGGGAGCCGAACTGTGAGCCAAATGATTTCACACTAATTTTTGTTTATTGCTAAGAAGGCAACACTTGCACCCGTGCCTTTTAATGCCACACTGCAGGGAGCTGTTGTGTCAGCACAAAGTCAACGTGGAGACAGACAGCCAGGCAGAATGCTTCTTGGAGCACTGGCCTCTCAGGATTTCTCTCTCACACACACACACACACACACACACACACACACACACACACACACACACACACACACACACACACACACGCACACATGCACACATGCACATATGCACACAAACACGGATGAAACCTGAGAAGTCCAGTGCTGGCAAGGACGCGCTTGTGTGATGACGAATGTTATTCGGCTGCATGGAATACTTGCAGCCCATGTTCACAGACAACATACAGCAACTGTGTGTAAACACATGACATGTTGCATCTTTTAATATTATTATTATTATTGTCAACTTGTATTGTACTGAGCAGCCAGGACAGTGAGTACCAAACGGCGGACCGTGTGTCAACTTGCATAATATGTAACATTCAGGTTCGTCGTCTCTTAATATTGAACTTATTTGTGCTTCAGCCTCAGTGTGTTGAGCAGGCAGGACAGAGAAAACTGCTTTCGCTACACCACTGTGAAACTTGCATCAAAACACCAATTTCATTAGAGGTGCAACAAATAATTGATTAATGGAAGATTTGACAACTAATCAATTAGCAAACTAATCAATAATTATTTTTGACAATCCATGACTCATTTAGATACCCCTTTTATTTAAAATTGTTGAAGTTTTCAGAAATTTGGATTCTCAATTAGAAATGGCCGATTTCCGTAGTCCTCCATTAAAATGCACTGATTATTTTTGTGTTGAATCAGAATAAAACATTTGCTTTTACTCGTGAAAACAATTAACATTTTTGTCTATTTTCTGACTTGTTATAGACCAAACCAGGAACACAATCATATTTAATTTGTTTGTGCATTTTCTCCTCTGCGTTTGAAATCGTCATGTTATTGAATAAAGGGATGGAAATGAAAAAAGTTATTTTTTTGGTACGATTTCCCAACTAATCGCCAAATAATCCTCCTATTACTTTCTATTATCAAATAAATTCTTAGATGTTGCACTAAATTTCATTGATATGTCAGCGCCATATCACAATATCATCCATTTCTTGTGGTATATTCGGGCTAACACTGTGGAGGTGACTTCAGAGGCAACATCGAGATCGTAACTTTTTGTTGCTTGTTAATGCTGATATTCGTGTTGTGCAGCATCTGTGCCTGATTTTCCTCCTCGCTCCCACCTTGCTTTGGCACTCTGAACACAACTGTTATTGCCATCCAACATATATTTCCCATATGCCTGAAGATCAGCAAGCATGACAAAGTCATAAAAGGCACCTTCCTCCGCAGCTCGGTTTTATCAGTCCTACACGTCTGTGTTAACTATGTCTAGCAAACAGGATCCCCTTTCCCCAAAACTATCATTTCGCTTCAACCAGTGCAGCTGCTCAAGCTGATTAAACAGATTACACATCGGTAGTACGCTCTCACACACATTGCATTTAACAGACTTCACTTTGTGTAGTGTGCTGTGCATGCTGAGCAGTAGGCGCAATGTGAAATGAGTGCTGACAGCTTGGCGGTCTAGAGCAGCACACTGAAAGATTGGCTTTAAAGGTTTCTCGTCAGGTGCTGAGGGTTTGACACAAGGGTTGTATAGATTGTCAAGTGCGATGCTCACTTGATCTGATCCTCTGTTTGTATTGATTTGGGAACAAGTGGACGCTTGTATCACACACAAATATGAAAAGAATGGGGAAATAATTACTGCACCAGGCACCGAAATAACAGAATACTGTACATGTTAATGTTAAAACATATGTATTTTTAGAGCGCATTCATCTACTGTATGCATTCATCAGGATGGCGACCTGAGTAGAGAAGGTGCAAAGGCTGATTAGTAAGAAAATTACATTGAGGTCTCTCGTCATTTACTAGTTCATGAAACTTGACCAAATGTTAACATGCATGTTTGTATGCTCACCCGAAAGCAAGATTTTACTGTGTCATCATTTATTAGGTCATAAAAATCGATTGGAAGTTGCAATGCTGCCATACAAAAAGGTGCCAACCCGAGCAGTGAAAGGATTGAGGCCCGTTTATAAAGGTTTAAAAATGTGCCCCTTTTTCATGTACCATTTTTAGTGAGAGCGAATAAAATGCAAAAATATTCATGGATGGGATGCTAACATTAAGCAAGATAGCAATGTGAGTACAAAAAATGTCAAGGCAGCTTGATAAGGCTTTACCTATATCCTGGCATTCTAAAATTGTTCATGAGAATTGATAAAATCCTCCCCTTGCATCCAGGTACTTTGTAATGTGAGTTGATAAAATGCTAACATGCTAACAGTTGGTCTGCTAACATAACCGCAAGATAGGAACCTGTTAAAAAAAAAACAAAAAGAAAAACGATAGATAAAAATGTACATTTTGCCCTGTCATCGGATTCATGGGAAAAGGTCACAGGCTAACATGGTGGAAGTTGGAATGCTACCATACAACTAGGCACGGCAGCAATTTGACAAATAGTCTGCATGTTTCATGTAATTGCTTTCTATATCCTTCTTGTCTGTTGAGGACAGTTCTCACACCACAGACTAAAATGAATGGAAGCTTAAAAAAAAAATTGCACAAAGTGACTCGACTTCTCCTTGCTTGGCTGCATCGATGTTTTAATTACTTGACTGATGAAAGCTAATTATATCGGCGCTTGGCTGATTAGCAGAATGCCAATAGAAGAATGGAGGGTTATTTACCGGGTTTGTTTTTACTTATTAGAGAAGGAGGGGAAAACTAGACGGCTCACTTTTGTGGCGACTTTAATGTTGAAAAATGCAGTGGAAGTGCAGCGCCTTGGAATTCCGTCATACAATTGTGGATTGGAGCCAATTTACCTGTTAGAAGTTGACTTTGTAGTTCAAACCTCACTAAAAGAGTGTAACGGATTCGGGCAAATGCATGAAAAAAAAACATTGACAGATGAACATATTGGAAATGGGGATCATAAAACAGCAAAGCTAAAACCAAATCAGTGACCTTAAGATGGGGACCGTAAAGTGAAAACACTCTTAACACGAGTCAGCCTTAAGATGGGTACCCAAAGACAGAGACCCTAAAACATACTCTAAACTTCAGTAGCCAGTGTCATCTCACTTTGATTGTTCAGTTTATCACAGAATTCGTGCAAGTCTAAGACTCGGTTTGAGGCTGTAGAGTATTGACATTGATCATTGCATGGATTCCGACTCCCTTGTTGTGTTCTTTCAAGGCTGTGATGTTGTGTTGTTTTTAATGACGGCAAGCCCTTCATGCTAGACGGCGTCGAGAGAGGTGATCAATTCTCATCCCGCCTCCAAACTCATTATAGGCCTCATCGGCTAGCTCATCGCCACCCTCAACTTTTAATCAAGGGCGCAGGGAAAGTGATGATGAGCTGCGCTTGAGGAGGAAAAAAAAAAACAGTCCAAACAAAAGGCGGTGGCGCAGAGCTGACGGGATACTGCAGCATCCTCGTGGCCCGCCATCATTAGCGTGCGTTTGCGCACAGGGGAATAGGCTGCTCCAGTCTTGTCGAGCCAGCTTGCACAGAAACGTCTATACATAGAAACAAATTTCCACTGAGCTCATTCTGGTACTTGTCCTCAGTGAGCCTTTTGTACTAGAAGAAAACCTAGC